CAGTCTCATGCTGGAGGCTTTCTGGGAGGGAATAGAAGTGACCACAGGCATCCCTGCATATGCCCTCTGCACCTCCCACATGCTGTCTGGCTGATAGTTCCTCAAAGGGCAGCAAGGCATCAGTGTGTCAGGAAGACCCAGGACTTCAATTTAGGATCAAGCTTGCAGGATTTGCCACTTATTTTCTTTATCTGTTTAGCTCTATGTGTGGAATTTGCATTGTGGGAGGACGCATGGGCTAGTCTGCACTTGTTTGGCTTCACTGGAAGTCTTGGGTTGGTCTTCAGCACATTCTGTGTCTGTCACATGGTGAAGGATGGGGTGATGAAAGTAGTAGGAGAATCAAGTCTTAGTCAGAAGAGAACTAAAATGCTGTTTACTCTTCACAGCCACTTTCAATTGGAAAGCCATGTTGCTGATAAACACAAAAAGAAACCATACAGTTGGTTAACAGAACCAGCCACAGACTATTTGCTTAACAGTTTGAACTACCGGGAGGCTTCCTGGGTGGTATAAATGGGCTTTTATTTACTTCTAATTGAAAGGTTGATGGTTCAAACCCACACAAAGAAAACTTGGAAGAAGGCCTTTTTCATGGAAAGCGTGGGGGGTGGGGGGAGCAAAAAAACCCCACAAAAAAACCCACAAAACAACACAAACCAACAAAACAAAACTGTGGAACAAGACTAAACAACAAAAAACTTTAGAAAATGTGGAACAAAATTGTTGTTGTTGTTGTTATGTGCCGTCGAGTCGCTTGTGACTCATAGCGACCCTATGTACAACAGCCCTAAACTCCTCTCTGCCCTGTGCCAATCGCACTCTCTGACACTCCCATCCCAATTATCCCAGTCACTGAATCAATCATAAAAATTGCCAAGCTCTTGGTCTGATAGAAACTGATGAAATCTCAGAGACTAGGGTCCTTAATTATCTTTAAGCCTGGAATTGATCTCAACCTAGTGACTCATAGCCAAACAACAGGCAGGCTGATAAAGTGAACACTAACATGGGAAGGAATATATTTCTTTAAAGAATCAACTCCTTAAAAGAATCAACTGTGTAAGATCAAAAAGGACTTCCACTTTGTTCTTTTCCTACGTCAAAGATGTTGAAGTGATAATGTGGTGGGTCCTTTGGTGCAAAATCCCAGATTTCCCTGGGTCTTCCAGTAGGAGCAGTGATCAACTGTGCTGACAACACAGGAGTCAAAATCTATTTATCATCTCTGTGAAGGAGATCAAGGGACAGCTTAATATACTTCCTGCTGCTTGTGTGGGTGGCATGGTGATGGCTACAGGCAAGAAAGGGAAAGCACAGCTCAGCGAGAAGGTGTATCCAGCAGTGGTAATATGACAATGAAAGTCAGACCGGAGAAAAGATGGAGTGTTTCTTTATTTTGAAGATAATGCAGGAGTCATAGTAAACAATAAAGGTGAGATGAAAGGTTCTGCCATCACTGAACCAGTTGCAAAGGAGTGTGCAGACTTGTGGCCTAGGATTTCATCCAATGCTGGCAGCATCACATGATTCTCCAACGTATTTGTAAAAAAATTAAAAGTCACCCAATTAAAAAATTATTTCCTACAGAAAGAAAAGAAAAAAAAAGATCAAAAGGGCAGTGTTTGCCTAAGAGTAAAACTCAGAATTCAGGAAAGGATAGGCTAGACGGATAGAAAGAAGTGAGAACCACAGGGTGGGAGTGGGTAAACTGTGTCACGAATGATAACATGCATGAATGGCTGAATGGAAAATAAGTTAGCTCTATACACATTCACTCACATCTCAAGAAAAAAGGTTAAAAATAGAAAAATATTACAATCAAGAACACTCCATGGAGCATTTCTACTCTGTAACACACTGGCTTGCCATGAGTTAGCAAGTTTTCTTTTTCCCCTTGGGGTATATATTTTGTTTTCCACCTATTGTGGGTCTGAGATTGTCGACAGCTTCAGTTTGCCTGGTTCTACAATCAGCACTCTTGGTACCAGCAGCCAGGAAATTAAAAGATTAATTGCATTGGGAAAGTCTGCCATCAGGGATCTCTCCAAGGTACTGAGGAGCAATGATGTCAGTCTGGAGACTAAGGTGCATCTGATACAGGCCATGGTCTTTCCCATTACTTGCTATACTTTAGAGAGCTGGACAATATCTAGGGGTGATAGAAGGAGAGGTGATGCCTTTGAACTTTGGTGCTTTATAAGAGTATTGAATATACTATGGACTGCTAGGAGAACAAACAAATTCGTCCTGGAGAGGGTTAAACCAGGCTGCTCCTTGGATGCAAGGATTCTGAAGTTTCATCTGACATACTTTGGACGTGTTGCAAGGCAGGATAAGTCCTTAGAGATAGACGTCATGCTTGGGAGGACGGAGGTACAGAGCAGAAAAGGAAGAGTCTCGATGAGATGGATTGATTCCATCATTGGAGTAATGGAGATAGGCATGTCAGAGACAATGAAATTAGTAAGAAATAGAGCAGGGTTTAGGGTTGTTGTAGATAGGGTAGCTATGAGTTGCAAGTGACTTGATGGCACATAACAACAACAACAATGTGGGTCTGAACATGTGACTCAGTGGTAACTAACCAACAACAACACTAGACTGGTGGTAAAATGAAAAGAGGATTTCAGTGTTAGACAGAATGGACCAATATGAGAGAGTAACTTTAAGATTGGCCCAAAATAATCCATCAATCTTCTTTTGTTTGGAGTTTTTGCCTTACTATTTCTACTACCTTTTTTTGGTTATAGGAAGGAAGCTTTGTTGACCAAGTGGGTAAAAGAGTTGCTCTGCCAACTCAAAGGATGGCAGTTCAAATCTATCAGCAGTTGTACAGGAGAGAAATGGGGAATCTCCTCCTGTGCAATACATTGCCTCTAAAAATTCTTCTGGAGAGTCAGCTGTGGGTCAGTTCTGGTTTGATGGCAATGACTTCAAGTTATTTTCAACTTTTTCTTTTTTAAGATCAGAATTTTGCTTTTTTTTATTATCCCAGCAAATTTTACACTAGAGAAAATGATCTGGAAAATACAAATAGATTCATTAAAAACACAGGTTCATTATGGAGATCTACTACATTCAGAAGTATGCAAAACAATTTAGTTATACTGCAAGCTGTGATGCATCACCTTTGCTCGGGAAACATTACGACAAAACTTCAGAGACACTGATCCCAACATAAGGAACTACCATCAGCTGATGTGTTTGAAATCACAGAAGCCATGGAAGCTTCATATATAAGT